CGGTCGGAAAGGAAGGGAGCCGTCAGTATTATCTGACGCCACAGCATCTAGAAGAGGCCCCCTATCCCAGACGTTACCATCCGAGTAGTCTGCACCATCCACCGCCTCTACTACCTGTACATACCGCCCATGCCCCTCCTCCCACCGCCCGATCGGCCTCTTCCCCACCACCGCCTCTCCTCTACCACCCGATCAGCCTCTCCCCCCCACCACCGCCTCTCTTTCACCACCTCTTCTCCACCCACAGCTAAAGCTAGAGCCTCTCCCCTTATTACAACCTCAGGGGGAACTGGGGGGTTGCTAGAACCGCCATGGTTTACCTATTAACGTTAACTTATAACCTTATTACACAAAGTAAAATAACTTTTTCAGTGAAATTGACGGACGTAGCATCAATTTTGCTTTCAAAGAGGATTACAACATATCGAGCTCTCAGACCTCCCTTAAATCCTAATACTCTAAAGACTTCCTTTTCAGAATTTTAGAGTGTTGGAACAGTAGAAGGAAACAGCAATAGTAATGACAACAGTGGTACTAAAAAATAAGTCTAATTATTTTTGAACTATCGTCACATTTACAGTTGATCGTTGCTTTTAATCAACATAGGTAACATTTTATAGTATGGAAAAATTAATTGTTAGGGTGTTGAAATAGTATTAAAAAACAGCAACAGAAATCGCAACAGCAACACTGATAAGTAAGTCTATTAATTTTTTAACTATCGTCACATTCACAATTCATCATTGCTTTTGTTTAACATAGCTTAATTTTCATAGTATGAAAAAGTTAAATGCTAGAGTGTTGTAACAGTAGTAGTGAACAGCAATAGTTATCACAACAGCGGTAGTGATAAATAAGTCCTATCATCTGTTATTTATCATCACATTGTTATGTTACTATTAGTTTTTTAATTTTTTCAATTATTTTTTTTAGTTATGATTAATCTAATGGAGTGCCTTAAATATTTTTTTTTAGAACATTATATTTTTTTTTTGGAAAGTGTAATCACTTATAAATAATATATTNCTTGAAATCAGGTTTCGAAGATTCCGAAAGAAGCTTTGCAAAAAATGACAGAACAAGATGATTTTCGTCAAATTTCTCTAGTATGAAATAAAAGTTATAGCAGAATAATAATCGTACGAAAGTTTTTCTTCATAGAAAGCTTGTTCTGAATTACCAAACAAGAAGTTAATATACGTTTCCACGATAAAAAATGTTTTTATTATTGTTATGAATTGAGGCAATGAAAGCTTTGAATTTCTCTTGAATTTAGTTACTCAATTATGTGTAGTCCTTAATATTTTCTCAAATCAATAATTGTTTGCACTTAATAACGAGGCAGACTCATATTAGACCTCATTCGTCCCACTGATATACTGGTAACAAGTGTTTGTAGCATTAACAATGAGTACTCTCTAATTGATGAAAAACAGTTAAGAAAGATTAGTAATTCTTATTAATTGTAAAAGATCTAATCTTAATCTACTTAAAGGAAAAATAATACTGTGAAATATGACGATACACAGTTCAAATTTATTTTAGCTAGCAACATAAACACCACTTTAATGTAAGCAGCTATTTCAAAACAAGATAGTATGGTTTTTGCTTGATTTTCTAAGACGACTCTTAATATATATTTAAAAATCTTACGTCCTATTAAATAAATAATATTAACGCTTAAATAAAAAGGCAGTCGATAGACCGTAGTGTTTATGTGCCCCTCTAGCTGCCCTCTTGGTAAGTTGTGGGGATACTGCAATACTGTGCCAGAAATGGAAGGGGTACTGTAAGACGAGCTATTATATGGAGTCCAAGCGTTATACACATATTGCTTCCAGAGTCCCTTTCTCCTTGTGCTATTACAGAAAGGTCCGTGCGTTGTCTCTTTTTCTCTCTCTCTCTCTTTCTGCGAGGTCTGTATCTGCTAAGATGTGTGTTTTGGAGCTCTAGCATTTTCTCTACCTGGAATTTTACTGATACCTCCACCGGAGTTTTCTTTTGTCAGGTTCATCCCTCCTTGGACCCAGGCTGGGCCTTTATCTCGCCATTGGTGTCCAAGGTCTCCTGGTGCTTCAGGAAGTATTCTTTTTGCCCTGCTGTGGTGCCTTAACCTTAATCTGCTATCTGCTGTTGGTGTGCTCTCTGGGTGACCTGGTGTACTGCTGGAGATCTGGTGGCGGTGGCTGAGGCTGCGGTGCAGCTGGGTGAGTGTGATTGCGTCGTTTCGTGATTCTATTGGTGGCCTTGAGTCCTGGACGCTACATCATCTCCTTGAAGATCAGTTTTACTTGCTGGTGGCACCATCCGGTGGCTGTTGTTTTTACTATTACTGTCATTGGTTTTGGTGCTCCCTGTTTTGCCGGCTACTGCTTGTTGAGACTCCTTGACTTGGCTGTGTTGAGCGTATCAGTGTTGGTGTGTTTATTTACTGTGATGATGTTATGCTAAGGTATGTCTGTCAGTAGCGAGACTAGCGAGGAAGATTTCTCTGATTGTGTACTGCAAGTGACCGACAAGATTTTCCTTTGCGCTAACGAGTAATAATGTCAATAAGCTTTTGGTAGATGTTGACAAATACCGTGCTACCTTAATTGCTGCTTATGGAAATGAAAAGGTTTCTCCCAGGAGACAAGCAATTTTCGATGCTGCTGTTGCCTTCTCCAAGGCTATTACACAGATATCTAATGCATACATTTGGAGACTTGCGGCAGACAACGCTTCAACGTCATGTAAGTCTGCTCTCAATCGTGCATGCCGATCGGTTTCGCAAGCCGCAAAGGCGATTGTGAAGCCGTCATGTAGCATTACTAATATATCACCTGCCCGCACTTATGCGAGTGCAGTATCGCGAGGTACTGCATCCGGTTCCTCTAATGTACCATTTAACAGCGTATTACTTCTGCGTACTAAGCCAATCAAAATTTTACCAAGGCAGCGTATTGTAGTTGGTCCGACGGATAAAGCAAAGAACAGGTTTAAGCGTCCTAAAGATGCTAGAGAGGCAGTAATGGGTGTGGTTGACCCGGTTCAACTCGGTCTCAATGCGTGTGTCTATTTGGGCCCTGCGGGTACTGTTATTCTTGAGGGTTCTGCGATGAAGTCTTCTTTTATTAAAAAATGCCCTGCGCTCGTTGAAGCAGATTTTGAATTGAAGCCGGATGTTAAGCTTGCGCCTCGTCTGATTATTCACGATATTCCCGTAGAGCTCGAAAAAGACGAAATTGTAAAATGTGTTCGTAAGCAGAACTTGCGGGGTGAATCTGATGCTGCAGTTAAAGCAATTTTTCTTTACCCCAGGGGTACTAAAAAGCAAAGATCTTGCGTTGTGGAGGTCACTCCTGTCAGTCGTGTTCGTCTTCTTGAACTTGGTCGTGTGACGATTGGGTGGAGCCGCTGTCGTGTTCAGGATCACGTATCGATTCCTCAATGCTTTAAATGTTGGGGATTGAGGCACATTGCCGTAAATTGCACGAATCGGTTATCTTGTAAGCGTTGTAGTGGGGAGCATCCTGGTCGTGAGTGCACGGTCACTGATAAACAGAAATACCGCTGCTTAAATTGTGTGAATTTAAAGCTGAAATCTGTCGCTCATGCTGCTTCAGATAGGGCAGCCTGCCCGCTGTTGTTGAGATTGATCCATCGTAAAATTTCTTCGACAAACTATGTCACGTAATTCTAATTTACTAAAAGTGGCATATCGTAACGCGCAATCTATTGAACCGCATTTTCGGGAAATTAAATCGATCATTCTTAACAATGGTTTGCATGTTCTTGCTGTCAGTGAATCGTAGCTGAAGCCGACTAAACATTTTGGCCAATTTAATATTCCGGGTTATACCCTTGTTCGTCATGATAGGCTCTGTAGGGGTGGTGGTGGCGTTGCAGCTTACATTCATGATTCTATTAAATTTCATGATGTTTCTCGTTCGGCTCGTACTGATGCCTGCACTCTCTGACCTGAGTTTTTATTACTCGAATTATCTATACTGCAACTCAAGTTTCTCTGCACTATTGTATATAATTAACCTAAGTGCGGCTATTGGTTGGACGTTGAGGATGCTGTCATGCATTGTTCGAATGCTTTCGATTGCTCATTGCTTTTGGGTGATCTCAATATTGATTGGACAGTCAACACTACTCCTTGCACAATACTTCGTGAGTCATTTGCTGTTTTGGGCCTCTCGGTTACGGCATTTGATCCGACATATCATACTGCCACCTCGGATAGTACCATAGATTATATCTGCATTAGCGACCCGAGCATAATTGAGAGGAGTGTCTAATTCAGCGCTCCTGGTGTCTCGAGGCATGATGTTGTATTATTAGAGATCCGTTGTCCTCTTCCGGCCTTTGAATCTCAGCCCATTTTATTCCGTTTATTCAGGGGCCTTATTCTGGATGATTTTAAGCATGATCTTGTATCGGTTGACTGGCATTCTGTTTCTCGTATGTGTCACGTTGACGAGAAAGTTGAATTTTTTATGACTGCTCTTACTAACCTCTTTAACATCCATGCTCCTTTCCGTGCTTTCATTTCTCGGCGCCGCCCTTGCCCATGGATGACGGATGAGATTCATTCTCTCATTCGAGAGCGTAATAAGGAGTGGAGGTTGTATAAGAGAACCAGGCGTGATAAACATGGAGTAGCTTTTCGCCATCTGCGTAACAGGGTGCAAGTGCTTTCCAGAAATGCACTTCACGCTTATAATAAAGATAGGCTTTTGTCCTGTAGGCGTCCTGCGGACATGTGGAAGTGTCTTCGTGATATTGGAGCATCATCGAGTGCGAGTGCATCACCTGCTATCGCATTCGATGGTGACGCCCTTAATCGACATTTTGTAGGTGCTCCGATGGTTTCTGGTTCCTCTGATGGTCGATCGTGTAATGTGCCATTTGAGGATAGATTTTTTTTCCGCCATTTTAATGAGTAGAGTTTGCTTGAGGCTTTTAGTGGATCAAAGACCAATGCCTGTGGAGTAGATGGGATCACGTTACAGATGTTGAAACTCGCCATGCCTTTCATTACACCCATCTTTTTAAACATATTTAATTGTTCCCTTCAGTCAGGTATATTCCCGACTGTTTGGAAGAAAGCACTTGTGACCCCTCTACCTAAGGTGAAACAACCCTCTGAGTTAAATCCTTTTCGGCCCATTAGCGTGACAAGCGCGCCATCAAAGCTTCTCGAGGCGGTGGCACTCAAGCAGATGTCAGCTTTCGTGGAGTCTAACAGACTGCTGTGCCCCCAGCAGTCGGGTTTCCATAATCACCACAGTATTCATACTGCACTGATAAATCTTGTTGATGAAATTAGGGCCTCTATGGATGTTGGTCACGTCATGTTGCTAGTGTCCGTGGACTTTCGGCGCGCTTTCGATGAGCTCAACATTGATGTGCTAGTAATAGGGCTCCTTTCTCTTGGTTTCTCCGATTCTGCTTGTGGCTGAATCAAGTCTTTTTTTTCTGGGCGTTCACAGGCAGTTAAGATGCGGGGCGGTTTGACCTCTGGTTGGCTTGATTGTTGTTTGGGTGTTCCTCAGGGTACTCTATGTGGACCTCTATTATTTTCGTTATATATCAATAATTTTTTCTCAGCTCTTACATCTTGCTCGTGCCATCTCTACGCTGACGATTTCGTACTAAAATTCTCTGGCCCAGTTGGCCAGATCCGTCGCATTGTTGTGGTCGTGAACGATGATGTAGATCATGTTTTGGGTTGGGGTCATGACAATTGTCTTTCTCCTAACTGGCGCAAATCTTTTGCTATATGGTTTGCCTCTAGAAGAAATTTGTCCACCATTCTCTGTGAGGCTGACCATGCCCCTACCCTTGATGGCCAACTGCTCCAGATCAGCGATACAATTTAGCTACTTGGTGTAACTCTTGACTCTACCCTTTCTTGGGGCCCTTTTGCAACTGAAACCTCTCGAAAAAGTTATGCTGCCCTCGTTCGTCTTCGGAGATGCCGCGACGCCTTGCCCTGTTCAATTCGCCTAAATATAGTTAGTGCCCTCATGCTCCCCTATTTTAATTTCTGTTCCGGCATTGCATTGGACCTATCAGTGTTTTGGTTACTAATTTGTCTCGTTGCAGAAATGCTGCTTTAAGATTTTTCACCGATGTTGGTCGTTCCGAACACATTACCCCTGTATACAGAGCACTTCGTATACTGCCTTTTACTGAGCGACGAGTGTACCTCTCGTTATGCCTCTTGGTCTCGATCTTGCGAAATGGTCTACGTGAGTACCTTGCTAATCAACTCCAGTTTAGGCCTCTTGGAGATGGTGGCTCCCTTCTTCGCTCCCAATTTAATTTGGTGATCCCATATGCTAGCACCTCTTACTATCAAAATTTGTTCCGCGTAGCCGGTCCGTGACTATGGAATACTCTTCTGCATGATCTACGCCGATGCTATGATCGGCCCTGTTTCAGGGTGCTCCTTTACAATTACTTTATTGATAAGACGTTTGGTCGCCTATAGTTTGCAAGTGTTCTGCTCATA